GTCTTAATTTATTTGGCAAATTTTTTTTGTTGCTATTGGATGTCCTTCTTCGAAGTATATATATATAGTTTTTTCTTATTTCAAAAAGATTTAATTAAATTTATTCTAAAATGTGAGAAATACACTCGGGGTAAAGCCGCTCACTTAGTTTTAAATTTAAAATTTAAAATAAAATAATTTCACGTATTATATTTTAACAATAACAAAATGTATGACTTGTTAAAACCAAAATTGTAACTACATTTCATTTTCTCTTAATAAAATATAACATTATTTAAATCCATAGTTGTAATTCATGAAAACTATATTTATTATTTATTAAACCAATTTGTTGTTTATAGAATTTTTTATTGAACTCATATTTTATCAATAATAAATCATACTTAAGACGGGAATAAGACGAATTTTAATATTTAAAAAAAACTGTTCCATCTTAAAAAGATAGAGTGAGCGGGTTCACCCTGGAAAATTGTGATTTCCAAATTTGGTATTTGTTTATTAAAAAGTTTCTCTAAGTAAAACTAAAAAAAGATAAATCAAAAACACTTTTTTATTTTTTTAGTAGAAATCATAAGCTTTCAAATGATATAAATTAACCTTGGATTTAGAGAATAACTTCCTAGATATTTACTGATCTGAAAAAAGTGAACGGGTTTACCCCAGTCTACCCTATTAATTATTATTACTTTATGGAACATTCAACATACATTTCAATGTACCTATCACAATTTTATTTACATTAACTTAAAATTTCTAACGCTTCGAGATTCGAACCTACGCTTATCTAACATTATAACGTATCGAATACCACTACACTACGCTGTGATGGTAGTTCAAATTCGTAATAAAATTTATAAAGTGCCACTAAAAGAAATGACAAAAAACTAATAAATGAATGTTAATTATAATATTGAAACAATATAACCAATAAAGGCGCTTGTATACCTCCACGTTTCTGAGTATATTCAGAAACATCCAGCGTTTTGATTGGCTTTTTTGGAAATTCCCTATGAGCATAGCCAATCAAAACGCTGGTCGTTTCTGATATACTCAGAAACGTGGAGGTATACAAACGCCTTAATACTAGTAAATTGGTAAAAACAAATTGACTGCAAAAGTAAATAATATTTTATTTACCATAAGGAAATACCTTGAATAAAAAGTTGGACCGATTTCGGACTACTAATCCAGAATTTGTCCACAACAGTGCGGTTTATTATAGAGTTTTTTTACACTGAATCAAGTTTGAAATAAATACCGTTTTTTATAATTATTGAATCCATAATTAGTCCGGTTTAGTCTGCAGTTAGTCAGATCATATGCAACTAATAAATGCAGTAGTAATTCGGTTGGTTTAGTACTGCGAAGGTCTTCAAGCCAATCAGCCTAACTTCTTTTATATTAAAGGCGTTAGAGAAACTGGTAGACAATTTTATCAGACAGGAATGTCTTAGGGATTATCCTCTTCATCAGGGACAACAGTCATATAGAGCAGATTTCTCAGTAGAAAGAGCCCTCCATTCTGCAGTAGGTAGAATAGAAGGACAAATTAGCAATTAGCTTCGCGAAAGAGCCCTTGAAGCAGAGTATGGTAAGGCTAAGGTAACAGAACTTGTTTCAAAAGGGTGCTCACATGGAGGAGTTCTCTCTCTTTTATTGTGGTGCTTAGTGGCAGATGAGTTAATTAGAAACCTTAATAGCCAGGGATATTATACGCAAAGTTACGCGAATGATTTCCTTATAATTATAAGAGGGCACTCAATAGAAGACCCTCTTAGAGCTTACGGAACGTGCAATTAAGATTGTTAAGGATTGGTGCAATCTAACTGGACTTTCTGTAAACCTAGAGAAAACGAATATAGTAGTTTTCACAAGGAAATATAAGGTACCGGCTGTACGTGCGGTGCAGGCTTCGGAATCTATCGAAAAACTGGCTGCATTAAAGTGGCTGAGTCACTAGGACAATATGCCACGGTCTGGCAGAACGAGATTTATAGGTCTGGAACCAGCATTGGCAATAATGCCGTGCTGGGTTATGGGAGCCATAGAAAAATGGGGTCAAATGGAACACGAAATGTATTAAGTAGACATTGGGGTGGGAAGGCAAACGAAGACTCTGTCGGGGCTAGTACTCAACAAGAGGCGAGCGAGCGATCTTCTAAAACTTGATAAAATCAGAATTAGAAACTTAGTTCGTCTTCTTACAGGTCATGGACTATTGAATTACCATCAGCATAAAACAGGTAGACAAGTTTCACCTATTTGCAGATTGTGTGATACAAGTAATGAAACTTCGACTCACATATTATCTGAATACCCAGCGTTAGCTAGGATCAGGCTATCTAGTTGGGGCCAAGTAATTATTGACCCAAAGCACGTGAGCAACCTATCGATAGAAAAGATACTGGACTTCTGGAGAAAAAGAGGACTTTAAAGGGGTTGCTATAAACGAGCGAGCTGGAGTCTAGGACAATAGATTTTATAACCTAGGTACTTACTTTCCTCTCTTTAGAAAAATCCAGCTTGATCTCGGTTATTAGATTAGAATCCGGTTGCTTAAACCAGTGAATCTGCAACTAATCCGAAACAGTCTGCTTATGATCAGATTTTGTCACACAGAATTAGTCCGGATAAATCTAAACTCAATACGATTTGTGTATAACCAGTGAATCCAGAATTAGTATAATCTTATCCCAAGTTAATCTGATAATACGCATCTTGCAATTATGTGAAATTAGTCCGATTAAGTCCGGAATTAATCTGATTATCGTCAGGGTATTGTTCACCCAAAATTATAATTACAGTTTGAATTTATTTGAATTCAATACAAATTGTTTTCAATATACAAATTCAATATCATTCCAAAATCATTCCGAATTAAGCCTTTGAATTGTATTGAATATGCATTATTTTGAACTGTTTGTGGATTACGTATATTTACAAATTCCATATTATTATTATAACACTTATTTTCGGACCGGGTTATTACTATATTATGAACTTGTTTATTACTAGATTATTTGCATTAAAATTTTGAATTGTTCCACAATTCTATCAAATTAAATCTTTTTAACTGGATTAAATCGGAATATTGTCGACTAATTTCGTATTCTTTACATATTGACTTCGGATTCTTTCGTATTTCTTTCAGATTAATTTTTAACGATATAATTTCAGATTGTTACGGAATAATTAACGACTTAATTCATAGACATTCAAGATTGCACTAAACTGATTTAGGATTCATAATTTCTCTAGGATTGATGTTGGATTAACGAAGATCAATTTCGAACATCTTTCGTACAATTATCGGACTAATCCACACTAATATGTCGGGATTTAATCCGGATTAGTCCAAAATTTTTACCAAGGCTATAATATGATTCGTGTTACGTACAGATTTCAGATTATTTCGTATTTGCTTCGGATTATGCCTTTTAATTGGATTAAATCCCAATTGTTGTAGACAATTTTCTAATTCGTTGCATACAGCTTTCGGAATGTTTCCTATATACTTGTTTCGGAATAAGATTTTGCCACACTTTATTTAAAACTGTAATGGAGTAATATCGAATTTCTTGCTTACAGAGTTCATATTGCTTTGGATGTATTGTGAATTAAGTTTTTACAAGTATGTTTAATTCGGAATGTTAAGGACTGATTCTGTATTCTTTACATATAGATTTCAAGTAAATCCGTACTAATTATAAAAGAATTTTTCACCAGTATTAAGTTTGGTTTATTGCGGACTAATTACGGACTGAATTCGTAAACATTCAGGATTACACAATAGTGTTTTCAAATTAAGGTTTTCATTCGGAGTAATATCAAACTAACGCGGATCAGTTTCGGACATTTTTCGGACTAATCCGTAATAATCTGTCCGTATTTAATAAGGAATTGGTCCTTAATTTTTACATAAGCAGCCACAGTTGGGCCATACATACAAAAGGTTAACAAACTATACGTCGACCAACAATTCGTAACTACGGAACTCACTAAAAGATAGGGGAAGATGGGGCAAAGATAGTTAGGTAAAACCTTTTCGGATCTAGCGACCAAACTTGAATATAGATCTGCAAATAAAAAGTATTTTTAGAAAGCCTGGTTATTTGGCTATAATTTTGCTGTATATTATTTTACTGTAGACTCAAATCCCTACAAGATATAAATGAAAAAGTAAACAAAAATTTTTAACTATCCTTGCCCCAGTACCGGAGCAAGGATAGTTAAAAGAATTCGAATGGTAAAAATGTTATAGAAAATCAGTAAATTCTTGTTTTCTTTATTTTACTAGATTTAGACTATTCAATATTGATATCTCAAGTATTAAAAATATGTATGGAACATTTTCTGAATTGAATTTATTGTATTAAAATTCATCTGAACTAGAATCAGAGGTTTAACTAATTTTCTTCAGACGACCACCAATTTCTTGGTCACAAGATTCGTTTTCCGTATATAATTACGCACGATTATGTATATCAACCTAAAAAGAACAATTAAATACTTTTTTAAAATTTGCAATGGCATTAACAGGATTTTACCGTGCCATATTATCACTAACTATCCTTGCCTCGTGAGCACATACTTAAGTTATCTCTAAATTGTAAGGAACGACGTAAATTAATTTGAAAATAAATACCATATTCAGCAGGAAATTCCACTCTTGAAAACACTTACGTAAAAAAAATTCTGAAATTCTAATGTACAAAACAATATGATAAACATTACGTAGACATTCTGACAAAACATACATTTTTCAAAAATAAAATCCTAACTTCGCAAAAGTAACAGATTGCCTTCCAATTTTTACTATCATCTTTTGGTGTTAAAAAGCGAATATACCATTAATTACGCGATTTTTGAGCAAACCGTCTAAGCATAACAGCAACTAAATATAAAAATAAAAATTATAAAGTTAAGGGGTAATTACCCCTTAACTTTATAATTGCCCAATCCTCCCCTATAATACTCAATATAAAAAATTTATTTTTCAGAAAGAGGTCCACCACATCAAAGAAGTCCAACAATTAGGTCAACATCCAATAAATACAGAAGACACTACAACATTCCAGTACCCGACTACAGACCATACATACAACAATATAGACAAACACAAACACAACTACAAAACCAAATTATCTGGCACAATTACAATCAACACTATTATCAAAGATTTCACCCATACCACAATCAACAACAATACAGTAATACACAATTTCCACACAACAACCAACATCACAGAAATCCATATTTTCAATAAGGTCAGTTTTCGCAAATACATTATAAAATAAAACTTTTAAAAAAACAAACTTATAAAAACAAAAAAAATATAGTTATAAATAAATAAAAGAATTAAACCTATTAAACAAATAGTACATTTTATTAAATTTCAAAAACCTCAGCTTATATTGAGTATAAATTTCAAATACATAACCTCTTAAAGAAATCATAAATTTTCTTTAAATTTCGAAAACCTCAGCTTATATTGAGTGTACATTTTTAATACATAACTTTTAAAAGAAACCATATTTTTTTTAAATTTCGAAAACCTCAGCTTAAATTGAGTGTAAATCTTAAATACTTACAGTTCTAAAGAAAGCGTAATTTTTTTTTAAATCTCGAAATCCTCAGCTTATATTGAGTGTAAATATTAAATACATAAACTTTTAAAGAAACCATTTTCTTTAAATTTCGAAATGCTAAGTTTATATTGAGTGTAAATTTTAAATACAAAAACCTTTAAAAAAATCTTAAATTTTTTTTTAAATTTCGAAATCCTCAGCACATATTCAGTGTAAATTTTAAATACATAATCCTTAAAAAAAATTCTAAATTTTTTTTAAATATCGAAATCCTCAGTTTATATTGAGTGTAAATTTCAAATACATAACCTTTCAAAGAAGTCAAATTTTTTTTAAATTTCGAAATCCTCAGATTATATTGAGTGTAAATTTTAAATACAAAATCCTTAAAAAATTCTAAATTATTTTTAAATATCGAAAACCTCAGTTTATATTGAGTGTAAATTTCAAATACATAACCATCCAAATAAGTAGAATTTTTTTTAATTTCGAAATCCTCAGTTTATATTGAGTGTAAAATTTAAATACATAACCTTTCAAAGAAAACATAAATTTTCTTTAAATTTCGAAAACCTCAGCTTATATTCTGTGTAAATTTTAAGTACATAACCATCCAAATAAGTCAAATTTTTTTTTAATTTCGAAATCCTCAGTATATATTGAGTTTACATTTTAAGAACATAACCTTTAAAAAAACCATAAATTTTTTTTAAATTTCGAAAACCTCAGCTTATATTGAGTGTAAATTTTAAATACAAAATCCTTAAAAAAAATTCAAAATTTTTTTTAAATATCGAAAACCTCAGTTTATATTGAGTGTAAATTTCAAATACCCTTTCAAAGAAGTCAAATTTTTTTTTAATTTCGAAATCCTCAGTTTATATTGAGTGTAAATTTTATATACAAAATCCTTAAAAAAAATTCTAAATTTTCTTTAAATTTCGAAAACCTCAGCTTATATTGAGTGTAAATTTTTAATACATAACTTTTAAAAGAAACCATATTTTTTCTTAAATATCGAAATTCTCAGTTTATATTGAGTGTAAATTTTAAATACATAATCCTTAAAAAAAATTCTAAATTTTTTTTAAATATCGAAATCCTCAGTTTATATTGTGTGTAAATTTCAAATACATAAACTTTCAAAGGAGTCAAATTTTTTTTTAATTTCGAAATCCTCAGTTTATATTGAGTGTAAATTTTAAATACAAAATCCTTAAAAAAAATTCTAAATTTTTTTTAAATATCGAAAACCTCAGTTTATATTGAGTGTAAATTTCAAATACATAACCATTCAAAGAAGTCAAATTTTTTTTTAATTTCAAAATCCTCAGTTTATATTGAGTGTAAATTTTAAATACAAAATCCTTAAAAAAATTCTAAATTTTTTTTAAATATCGAAATCCTCAGTTTATATTGAGTGTAAATGTTAAATACATAATCCTTAAAAAAAATTCTAAATTTTTTTTAAATATCGAAATCCTCAGTTTATATTGAGTGTAAATTTCAAATACATAAACTTTCAAAGGAGTCAAATTTTTTTTAAATTTCGAAATCCTCAGTTTATATTGAGTGTAAATTTTAAATACAAAATCCTTAAAAAATTCTAAATTATTTTTAAATATCGAAAACCTCAGTTTATATTGAGTGTAAATTTCAAATACATAACCATCCAAATAAGTAGAATTTTTTTTAATTTCGAAATCCTCAGTTTATATTGAGTGTAAAATTTAAATACATAACCTTTAAAAAAACCATAAATTTTTTTTAAATTTCGAAAACCTCAATCTACATTGAGTGTAAAATTTAAATACATAACCCTTCAAAGAAATCGTAAATATTCTTTAAATTTCGAAAACCTTAGCTTATATTGGGTGTTTTCGGCATTCGCCCTGAGTTAACTCCAGAGTCAGCAGTGGTGCTCACTCGATTTTATATTTCGACGCGAAATTGTGTACCTGTGAACAGGGCTTTAATTTCTAATGTGTACAACCTTACCTGACTTTGCTAATTTTGAGAGTTTAGGAAGTGCACGTGGTATTTTCACAATCAATTTGTTCCCGTCAGTTCCCGTGTTGAAATAAAAATGTCTATTGACGATAATTATAAAATAATTAATGCATTAGTGGACAGTAAAACAGGTGCATTGATTATTCGACCAAGTGACAATAAAGTTTTATGTTACCTTTTGAAGGAAGGTGGTAAGTAGTATTATAAATATAATTAAATTTTTTATATAAAATGCAACTTATTTCTATTTTATAGTGCCAAAAATAATTACAAACAAACCTTTTTTAAGATAATTAATTTTTTCAAATACACTTATACACTTATTTATAATAAAAATCCTTTTTTGCATAATTGAAATTATGTAAGTTAATTGAAAATAATAAATTTTTCTTCAAGTATTTCGTTACAATTTTGGGAAATCAACTTTTGAAGAATTTCAATGGCAAATTTTTAAAATAATTGAATTATTAAACATTTTAATAAAAAATCTTTAAATATAAATTTGAAAACAAAAATTAATGAAAATTAGCTTCTAGTTTCTTAAAATTAAAAATTTTAAATTCAATATTTTCAGTATTTTTAATATTTCTGGAAAATTCAAATACCTATACATACAAAAAAAATATTTTTAAAAACTAATTCTTACAATTATTTTATCATAAGTTTTTAAGATTAAATTACCTTCTAAGAAAGTAAATATTTAAAAATTTATAAGCATTTACTGTTTTTATTTGTATTTTTCAAAAATTTAATTATTACTTGGAAATTTTTCAATTCAAAAAACTATTATTTCTCAAAAATTATTTAAATTATTGAATTATAGAAGAACTTTTGAGGTATATTTCTTTTTGAAAATCGTAGAAAATAATTGAATTTAGAAAAGTGTTATAATTGTAAAATTATTAAAATTAATAAATTTTACTCATTTTTCATAAAATTTCATATTTTTCTAAAAAAAATTTTGTCAGGAAAAATAATTTTAATGTCAGTAAATTTTCAGGGAAATTAAGAAAATGTAACTTGCGACTACTCTGATAAAATATCGTAATTTTGACTAAGAAATTAATTGCAAAGCAATTAAAAATGATTGAATTTTCGTTCACTTTAAATTGATTGTCAATTAATTTCCACTGATTAAAATTGTGAAAATATATTGAATAAGAGTGCTTTAATATTTTCAATGTCAAATTACAAAAATTACAATAATTATAGAAAAATTTACGAAACGCTTAGTTTTTTAAGAAGCTTTAAAAATTTCGTCATTAAAGTCAAATTTTTAACAAATACGTTTTTTCAATTTCTTTATCATAGAAAACGTATTTTATTTGTAATGTTAATTTAATTTAATTGTTTTTCTTCGGTTTTTAAGTTTTATTTTTTAAATTAAAGCTCACAGAATATTTTTTAACTAATTGTTTGAAAATAAATAAAAATTATGTTATTAGGTATCAAAACAATGGGCTACGTCCCCAAAGAAAAATTTATTGAGGCTACCTCCAGAGATTCTACGGAAGGTGAAAAAGAAGAAGAAGAAGTAATTGAAGGAGAATGTAAGATGATTTTTTCACAAAATTTAAAATAGATAATATGAATAATAAAGTTTTTTTATTTTTTATTTTTTAAAACTTTTATTCATTAAAATGTTAATTGAATGTAATAAGGAATTTTTTATTCTTATTTATTAAAATTAATTTTTCATACATTCTTAAAGAAACATAATTCTAAAAGGCCTTAAAATTTTAAACATTAATAAATAATTTCGTACTTGTTTTTAAAATTATTTTATAAATTTAAATGAATAAAATACTTTTTTCCTAATCATTGTTTTGTAATAAATAAAAATTATTTTTTTAGATAATGAAACAAGGCGCTCCACTTTCGAAGAAGAATCCTCAGATTCTCAGGAAGATGAAAATCAAAAGGATGAGAATCAAAATTTACACGCGGAAAAGCAAGGTTCAATTAGCAAAGAATGTAAGAAAACAATTATTTTTAAAATATCTTTTCGAATTCAAAGTCAACTTCTGAAATAACGGAGTCACATTCAATTTTTTCTAACACTTTCCAAATTTCAGCACTGTCAATTTTCATCTATTTTATCTATTTTGTGGAATTATTAAATCAGAACTTGAACTTTTAAAAATTTTTATTAATCAAAAATTAAAATTTTTTTTAAACTTCCATTTATTAGAATATTAATTGAATTGGAAATCAAATTTACTTTATTTCTATAATTGTAATGATATTAAAAGTCAGGTAATTAATTGCATTGGTCGATAAAAATTTTTTTAAATCACTTCAAAAATACTTTTAATAATAATTAACTATTTTTAATTAGAGAAACTATTTATATTGTCAAATATTTCATTGTTTTAAACAAAAGAACAACTCATAAATTAAAAAAAAATTTCTTATAAATATTGAAAATAATGCAATAAAAACAGGAAATTTTTGCAGAAATAAAATTCTGTGGACAAAATCAATAACATAAGAAAATTATATTTTTTATTAAAACGAAGCTTTAATAATTTTTTTATTTGCACGAGTTCAGGGTGGCCACTGGACCGGGAAATTACAGGGAATTTTTTTGGACCGGAAAATGATAATAAATTTTCATCTTAACAGGGAATTTTGTAATTTTTTATTAAAAAATGTTTTTTTAAAACACTGATTATATTTTAAAACACTGTTCATATTTTCAAAAATTTTAAGAACAAATTCAATTATTTTTAAAAATTTTAATAATTCCTTTTAAACAATTCAATTATTTTTTTGAATAGTAAAATATTTACAAAAATTAAATGATTTTCAAAACAATTTTAATTGAATTCCTCAGAAAAATTTAATTTTTAAAAAAAATTTTAACACATTTCGAAAAAGTTCCATTTTTTTCTCAAATTTTAATAAATCCTACGAAAAATTCAATTATTTTCAAAACAATTTGAATTGAATTCCTTGGATGAATTCAAATATTTTTAAATACCATTTAAATACTTTTAAATATTTACACAAATTAATGTTATAATAAAATAATTAAAAATTGTAATGACCAATTGAAATTATCAGAATTTTTTTGCACTTCTTTTCATTAAAAGAGTCGAAGACTCGGAGTGATCGATTTCTTTTTTTTTCTAATAATTAAAGATGACCGAAAGATAAAATCATTTTTTATATTATAAGAATATTGTTACTGTAACTTTTCATCGCTTCAATTTAATTATTGTTTTCCAAAATATTTAACTAAAATTCTTCTTTAAATTAATTATTTTTAATAACTTTTGAAAAATTTCTTTGAAAATTTTCAAATCCGTTTGTTTAAAATTTAGTTTTACGAAATTAATCGATTATTCGGAAATTCTTCCGAAAATATATATTAAAAAAATGAAAACTTCAAATAACTGAAAAAAAATTCAATTAAACTTTTTCAGAAAAATTAAATCTACACAATTTTCAGTTGAAAGTATGAAAAATTCAGATTTTCAAAGATTTTAATTTGCAACCCTTTCAAAATTCAATTATTGAAATACAAAAAAAATATTTATTTAATAATTGCATATTTTTGAAATTGAATTCTCATAAAGAATTTTATAAATATATTTTTAAATAATTGAATTCTTTGACGAATTTTAATACAATTTGCAAGAATAATTATATTTTTCGAGGAATTCGATTAAAATTGTATGAAAAAGTAATTGAAATTCTGCAATGAGTTTTATATTTTTATTATTTATGAAAATAATTGAATTCTTAAAAAGAATTTTATTATTTACAAAAATAATTGAATCCCAGTAAAAATTTAATTATTTATGAATTGAATGATTTGCGAAGAAATTTATAAAAAAAATTTCAAATAATTGAATTCCTGTGTGTAAAATTTTCTTAAATTCTTTTTAATAATTGAATTCTTTTGGCCAATTTTAATAAAATAGTAAATATTCAAAATCATTGATTGAGGAAAATTTTTGAAAATAATTGAAATTTTGCCACGAATTTTATTAAAATTTTTGAAAATAATTGAATTTCAGAGAAGAGTTGAATTATTTCTAAAGATAATTGAAATTTTAACGAGAATACTAAAATTCAATTATTCAAAGACAAAAATAATTTTTTAAAATTGGATTCTCATTTAAACAATTTTATCAACAAATTTTTAAATAGGTATTAAAAATTCTTTTGACGAATTTCAATAAAACTTTAAAGAATAATTTCATTTTTTAAGAAATTAGATTAAAATTGTATTAAATATAATTGAATCTTTGTAAAAAAAAATTGATTGAATTGAGAAAAGCTTTTGAAAATAATTGAAATTTTGGCAAGAATTTTTTAAAATTTTTAAAAATAATTGAATTTTGCAGAATAATTAGATTTTTCGAGTAAAAAGTTATTCCATTTAAAATGGAATAATTTATTGTGAGAGTTATTCTTTATGGCATAAAAAATAATTCATGACCGAGAAATGACTGTAAATTTTTTTTATAAAAAAGTGTCCACCCTGCAAGTTATTACTTGACGCAAATTTTAATTTAAAGAATATCATTATTTAAAAAGTAACATTTTTCAGTTGCTAAAACTTCTGGACCATGGACTGATGATGAGACAAAATTATTAATGGAAGTGTACCCTGAAGTGGCAGAAACTACGAAGGACAACTTGAGTCCCGAGTTTTGGAAGAAAGTAAGCGGTCTAATGGCTAATAATGGTTTACAGAAAACTTGGATTTCTTGTAAGGAAAAGTGGAAGTCTCTCACACGCACTTATAAAATTAATTTAAAAAAAAAGAAGGATACAGGTAAAGGTCCTGTCACCTGGCCCTATTTTGATGAAATGCACAAAATTTTATATCATAAACCAGAAATCAATCCTGTTTCGACAGCGTCTAGTATAGCCGGATATAAAAAAAGAATAAGAAAAGAAATAGAGACTGAGGATGAAGAAGCTTCATCTGCACCAAAAGCTAAAAAAATAAAAAGTAAGCCTGAATGGGTTGAGGAGATGAGGAGAGATGCGGCTTCACGCCATAAAGAAAATTTAGAGTGTAAACAAAAATTTTTATCTACTTTTGAGGAGTACATTAAGCTATTAAAAAAGAAGTAAATAAGAAAGTAGAATGCTTTTATTTTTTGTAGTTTTGAAAAAGAAGTTATTTTCAAAAATTATAAATGCTCTCACCATCTCTTCAACAAATTCTCCATTTTTTGGATTTATCATTTATTTTTGTGTTGTTGCTAATTAAGTTCATAACAGTTAAGAAAAATTACTTTCGTTCAATAATACTGATAACGTGATGGTATGAATTCTAGCTTTACGCTTTGCCACTTTGTGTCACTTGTGTTTTTGGCACTGTTTAAATATTAATACCAGTTATGTAAAATTACTTTCCATTTAATAAGACTGATATTAATAAGACTGATATAGCGATAAACAAATTCTAGCTTTACGATTTTCCATTTTTTTGTTGTCACTATAATATAAATAATAGATTATAAAATATTACTTTCTTTTTAATAAGACTGATGCCGTTATTTTATGTGTAAGAACTGTTACAATGGAATTAAGAAATTTTATTTACTTTAAATTAAAAGCTAGAATTTAAGTAATTCTTTTTGTAAAATAATTGAATAAATATTCGAATTTTTATATTTTATATAAAAAGGTATTGACTAAATTTATTACACTGTACAATTTTTTCCGCTCGCGGATCACACAAAAGAGCTGGAAAAATGTCCGATTTTATATAAAAAATAATTTTTTAAATGTCCATTTCAAGAAAGAATACAATAACAGGGTTGCCACAAATATTTAATTTTATTTTTCCCTGATTTCCAGACAAAATTTCAACTTTTTCCCTGACCGTAAAGAATATTTTGATTCACTCTTAAAATTATTAGATACTCGAAAAAATATTCTATTACATTTATTTACGAATTTCTTTAACTGTAAAATTATTCGAAAAAATCAATAACTTCTTTTTTAAATAAATATTTAATCATTACTATTCTTCTGTAGGAATTAAAATTTTTCAAATCATTCAAATTCACCTTGGAGTGATCGCCTTCTTCATGTTTCACAATAATTTAAATTACCATAAAATCCTTCACAAGAATTTAATTATTTTTAAAAATAGTATAATTAAATTTTTCGAAAAATTCGATCATGAAATTAATTAAAATTTTCCCAAGAATTTGATTAAAATTTTTTTAAATTATTGAATTTCGGGAAAAGAATTTTATTACTTATAAAGATACTTGAAATTTTGACAAGAATTTTTTTATCATAATTGAATTTTTGCGACAAATTTTATTATTTATAAAAATAATTGAATTCTTGAAAAGAAATTTTCTTTAGTCAAATTTTTTCAAATAATTGAATTCTTGAGACAAATTTTATAAAAATCTTTTTTAAAAATTGATATTTTTAAATTTCATGAAGTTTTGTATTTTGAATAATTGAATTCCTATAAAAATTTCATTGCTTATGAAAATAACTGAATTTTTTCGAAGAAATTTATTAAAATTTTGGAAATAATTGAATTCCTTTGAAATTTTTCCAAGAATTAAAAAAAATTTTAAAAATAATTGAATTTCGATAAAGAATTTTATTATTTATAAAGATAATTGAAATTTTGACAAGAAATTTTAAAAAAATTTTGAACATAATTGAAGTTTTGCGAAGAATTTTTACAACTTTTGAAAATAATTGAATCTCTGGAATCATTTATGTAACTTTTCCAAAATTTAATTTTTTTAGTATTATTATTTTTAACTAAAATTCTTCTATCAATCTAGTATTTATGAAAATTGTAAAAATTATTCATTACATAAATTATATGTCATAATTTTATGATAGTTCCTGAAAAATTAAGTTATTTGAAAAGAAATTATTGTCAGAAATAGAAAAAAATGGAAGGTTTTGGTGGTAATTTTATAGTTTGCGAGGGAAACAAAAGAACATCAAAATTCAGAGTTTTCTCATGAATTTTAAAAATTCATGTTTTTTCATTATTTTTAATAAAAATCCCTGACTCTTCCCTGATTTCGCTGGCCAATTTTTCTTCCCTTGACCTGTGGCAACCCTAAAGAAAGAAACAGATAAAGAAAAGAAGTGTAATAGAAGGATTAATTGTACGTGAAATCACTCGCGATTTAAATACAGCATATTCGCAATCACATTGCGCTTAATCTCTGGATTAAAACGCGGATTGTCTTGTGGTACTTCTGGTAATGGATTATCATTTCCATCGTCGAGCTGCTGATCAAAATCATCCTCTCCAACATTTAAAATTCCATCCAGAAAATCATTTAAATTTATACAAATGTTGTGGAGGCAGCAACAAGCAAGTATAATAAGAGACGCGTACTCTACGTTTTGCAGATATAAATATTTCAATCTACGAAAACGACTCATAAGTAGCGCAAAAGTCCTTTCTATCACTTGGCGTGTTCTGGCATGTAGGAGATTGTAAAATGTTTGCACTCTCAATAACTGTCCATAATTTTTGTAAGGCGGCAACAAATTAAAATGAACAGGATATATCTTGTCGCCCAAAATATGAGACTGTCCTGGAAAGTACGTTTCGCTATTGCGTTCACTTTCCTCTTTTATGTCGCTCATCTCCCACACTCGTGCGTCATTGATACTGCCACAACAACCCGCAAAAACGTGAATGAAGCGCAACTTGGCATCGCAAATCCCTTGCATATTAATGGAAGAATACCCGTGCCTATTCACGTAACTTGCAGGGTTTTCGCGCGGTGCGCTTATTTGAATGTGACATCCGTCTATTGCTCCAATCACGCCTGGAAACCCAGCAATTGCTAAAAACTCTTGCTTGTTCCTTTCTATTGCTTCTCCGGTAGGCCATTTTATGAATTCTCCTGTACGCGCACAGAGAGAAGTTGCCACATCCAGCATACACTGCCAAGCCGTTGATTTGGCGACACCAAAGCGATCAGCAATAGATCTAAAGTTAGGAAAAAAGTAGTAAAAAGTGTGGTACATGGTCACTTTATCTATAAAATATTTTTTAATCATTTTTGTCTAAAAAATCGATTTCTAATGAAATCTGTTTTCTAAAAAAAGTTTTTCTAATAAGTTTTGATTTCTAATATTTATTTTCATAAAATTTGTGAAATTCCACGATTTTGATAAAAGTTAGAAAAATGTTAAAATAAAGACTAGGAATTTTGTTCACAAAATTATGAGTTTATTTTTATAAAAGGAGAAAAATCTTATAAAAGTCCTATTTCTGATCACAATTTTTTAACAAAATTCTGTTTTTCTTTGAAAGAAAAAATAATTTGCATCATTTTTATACCAAAATTTCCGGAATTAATTTATTTATAAAACATTTTTTTAGAAAATTTTTAATTTCTTTAGAAAAAAATCAGTATAATTTATATTTGTTAATTACGGTTTTTAACTAGATTATCAGGGTTGTCAGGGAATTTAGGGAAAAGTCAGGGAAAGTAAAATTGGTCAGGGAGAAGTCAGGGATTTTTACTAAAAGTACTGGAAAAAATTGAATTTTGGAGAAGTTACAAATGAATTGCAGAAACTTAATTATTTTCAAAAGAAATCAAATTCTTTGCAAAAATTCAATTATGTTCAAAAATTTAAAAAAATTCTCGTCAAAATTCAATTATCTTTAAAAATAATAAAATTCTTCTCCAAATTTCAATTATTTTCAAAAATTTTAATAAAATTCTTTGCAAAAAATTCAATTATTTTCAAAAAATTTTAATAAAATTCAATAATTTTCAATATCTACAGTTTTAATAAAATTTTTCAAAAGAATTCAATTATTTCAAAAAAAAATTTTGATAAAATTCTAAGCAAACTTCGCAATAATTCAATTATTTTCATAAATAATAACAATTTTTACAAAAAAATTGAAAAAAAAAGAATTAATTAATTAATTAATTTAATTTAATTTAATTTCTTCACAATTTATTTCTGTATTAAATTATTCAAAACTTGAACAATTAATATCAAATAAATATTTAAATACTATTTTTTCAACAGCAATTAAGATTTTTAATAATTTCAATGTAAAACCTTTTCGAAATTTAAGTTTTATAAAAAATTACAAATGAGTGCGAAGTCTATATATACTTAAGTCTATATACTTATACATACCTATAGACCTCCTGATTCGCAAATGTCCAAATAGCAATAGCCAATTTCTTCGTTACGGATACATTCATATGTGTTGAATTTAAATCCGGCCCTAATAGAAGGCTTAGTTGTTCAAATGTAGTTCTCGTCATTCGAAAGTGTGACTGAAAATCTGCATTGTTTTAAAAAAGCAGTTAGTTATAATTTGAATAGCTGTTTCAAATTTTCAGGCCTCGTATCGACTTTAAGGTGCAAAAAAACTTGCTTTTGTCGATTTAAAGAAGAAAAAGTCGTTTATTCAATTCAGTGTTGTCACAAAAATTTTATTTTGCATTTTCTGATCTTTCACTGATTTCTAAATTTAATTATTCAAAACTTGAATAATTTCGCTAAATAAATATTTAAACACTTTTTGTTTGTCTTTATATGGAAATAAAATTTTCAAAAATTCTATTTAAAATCTTCTGAAATTCATTAACTCCTAAAAATTACAACTTTAATTCTCTTAAAACGTAATTATTTTCTACAATTTTAAATCAAACTTATTTTCGAAAACAATCATTTTTAATAATTTTCCGAAAGTTCTTAGAGAATTCATTTAAATACAAAAATTAAGTTTTTTATAATGATTGTTAATGTCCATGTTTTTTAAATTATTAATTAATTTTCAACAAATTATAATAAAGAATTTCTTAAAATTTATTTTTAAAATAATTTATGAAAGATAATATTTTTTTAATTATATACAATTGAAAAATTTCTAAACAATTCAAATTTGGTAAATTCTATTTAAACAAATAATTGAATTTTTAAAGAATTTTAATTATTAATAAAAACGTGACTTCTCCAAAAAATTTTTTAATTAATCTAAAAAAGTAAATTGTAAAAAATTTTAACGTTATTTTTTGCATGTATTTGAATTTTTGGAAATTTGTATAATTTTTAGAAGCAAATTTTCATTAATTACCATTTTTAAATTTACACTTAAAGATTTTTTATAAAAATTTTTGTCAAATCTATTATTTTCAAAATTTGCAATTAAAATTCTTTAAAAGTTGATTTTAAAAAATTTTGAAAAAATAAATTATTTTCAATTAAATTTCAATTATTGAAACTCTTTTTAATTGTAAATTTCAAAAATTTAGTTAGAAAAATTATTTAAAAATAGTCAAATAGTCGAAAAAAGTCGAAAAAGTTATAATATCCGAGGCCTGAATTTTTTATTCGACGAGCCAAGTCAAAACTTAATAGTTGACTCTTTTTAATTAATTAATTAATTAATAATTTATATTTCATTATTTAAAATTAGATTTTAATAATTTCTTTCCAACAACATGTAAGTTTTTTTAAAATGAATGTGTAATTTGATAGACTTGTGTAATTTATACCTGAGAGTGAATACTGTGGAACTGTTTCTTCAAAAAAATGCAGATTTTTGGGATGTTGTTCTTTTTCAGTCACGTTGGCTAAATATATGAAATCTTCTTCCTCTTCTTCGTCTTCATTATCAAAAATCATATTATATGCCCCAGTGATCACCATCAGTAAGTCAACTATAATTACAACATTAAAAATTAGTTATTATAAAAATTGGTACAGTTAAATCGAGAAACATTTCTTTAAAACGTATTTTTTATGTGTAAATGTTAATGTTAGTAGATATTTAACAACAATGTTATTAACATTTGAATTTTATAATAAATTGAAACAAAATTTAATAATTTCTTTTTAAGTATTTCCTTAACAAGAATGAAAAAAACAATGGCATATTTCTCAATATTTTTTTAATATATTCGTCTCTATTTTTGAAAAAATTTGAAAACGAGAGTTTAATCAGAATCAGGAGAACTATTTCAAATATATATTTTTTCAAAAAAGCAGAACTTTGTTTTATTAAAATTGTGATTACAAAATAGAAGTAGATGTTTGTTGAAAAAAATTATTAAAAAATAAATTATGAAAATATATTTATGAAATTTCTTTGGTTTATTTCTAAAAAAACAATGAGTTTTGTTCTAAAATTGTAATTGAGAAATGGAATTAGTTAAAGTTATTTCCTTTTTTCTACAAATATCAAATAAAATTTTTAAATTTTTTCCTAAAAGAAAGTAATAATTTTATAAACAAAATTGAGATTGTAAAACGAAAAATAGACAAAAATGGGTATATTTTCTATGTACTAATTTTAAAATTAGTAAATAGAAAATATACCCATTTTTTTTTTTTTTTTTTTTTTTGAAAAATTTGAAAGTTGCTCAAAAATTAATTTTTGAGCAACTTTCAAATTTTTCTTAGAAAAATAAATAATAAATTATAGGATGTGAATAGTACAAAATTTAATAACATCAATTTTTTGATTTTATTTCATACATACCTTCTTCCATTTTTTACTCTTTTTGCTTCGTTTTTTAATTTAAAAATACGTATAATCCACTAACTTTAAATTGTCACTTATAGGTTATTACATTACCCTTTTCTTTTACTCTTGCAAGTGAAGTAGTGTTAACTCTGGGTCATCTGTTGACAAATTTCTAGGAACTTTATTGAAAAACTAGGGATTTTTTTTTTTTTTTAATATTATATTCTAGCACTTAAAGCACATTTCACACGTTATGGTAATTCACCAATTAAGAGCGAGATGTTTACTGATTTCGCCAATGACAACTGACAGCTGAATTGAAAAATAAAAATTACATTTAAAATCGAGTGAGCACCACTGCTGACTCTGGAGTTAACTCAGGGCGAATGCCGAAAACACCCATTGAGTATAAATTTTAAGTACATAACCTTTGAAAAAACCATATTTTTTTTAAATTTCGAAAACCTCAGCTTATATTGAATGTAAATTTCAAATGCATAACCTTTCAAAGAAGTCAAATTATTTTTAAATTTCGAAATCCTCAGTATAAATTGAGTGTAAATTTTAAATATAAAATCCTTAAAAAAAAGTCTAAATTTTTTTTAAATATCGAAAACCTCAGTTTATATTGAGTGTAAATTTCAAATACATAACCATCCAAATAAGTCAAATTTTTTTTAATTTCGAAATCCTCAGTTTATATTGAGTGTAAATTTTAAGTACATAACCTTTAAAAAGACTATAAATTTTTTTTAAATATCGAAAACCTCAGTTTATATTGAGTGTAAATTTCAATTACATAACCATCCAAATAAGTCAAATTTTTTTTGATTTCGAAATCCTCAGTTTATTTTGAGTGTAAAATTTAAATAAATAACCTTTCAAAGAAATCATAAATTTTCTTTAAATTTCGAAAACCTCAGTTTATATTGAGTGTAAATTTCAAATACATAACCTTTCAAAGAAGTCAAATTTTTTTTAAATTTCGAAATCCTCAGTTTATATTGAGTGTAAATTTTAAATACAAAATCCTTAAAAAATTCTAAATTTTTTTTAAATATCGAAAACCTCAGTTTATATTGAGTGTAAATTTTAAATACAAAATCCTTAAAAAATTTAAAATTTTTTTTAAATATCGAAAACCTCAGTTTATATTGAGTGTAAATTTCAAATACATAACCATCCAAATAAGTCAAATTTTTTTTAATTTCGAAATCCTCAGTTTATATTGAGTGTAAAATTTAAATACATAACCTTTAAAAAAACCATAAATTTTTATTAAATTTCGAAAACCTCAGCCTATATTGAGTGTAAAATTTAAATACATAACCTTTCAAAGAAGTCAAATATTTTTTTTAATTTCGAAATCCTCAGTTTATATTGAGTGTAAATTTTAAATACAAAATCCTTAAAAAAAAATTCTAAATTTTTCTTAAATATCGAAATTCTCAGTTTATATTGAGTGTAAATTTTAAATACATAATCCTTAAAAAAAATTCTAAATTTTTTTTAAATATCGAAATCC